TACATATATATATATAAACATATATATATATATAAACATATATATATATATATAAACATATATATATATATATAAACATATATATATATAAACATATATATATATAAACATATATATATATAAACATACCTGGACAGGCTCGGAGGAAGCAGGAGCGGCTATCGAATTCATCCCGGTCGCAACGTCCCCCCGGGAGAGCGTTGCGGAGAAGGTCGCGGCGCCGGAAGGTCACCCCCAGCCCGCAGGACCGGCTGCATTCGCTCCAGAGGCTCCAGGGAGACAGGATGCAGTCCACTGGAGAGGAGGAGGGGGAGGAGGAAGAGGAAGAGGAGGAAGTAGAAGAAAAAAGTGGAGGAGGAAGTAGAAGAAAAAAGAGGAAGAGGAGGAAGAAGAGGTGGAGGAGGAAGAGGAGGAGAAGGAAGAGGAGGAAGGGGATGGATGAAGAGAAAGAGGAGAACAAGGAAGAAGAGAGAGGAGGAGGAGGGAGAACCAGGAAGAAGAGGAAGGGTGGAGGAGGAAGAGGAGAAGGAAAAGGAGGAAGCAGAGGAGGATGAGGAAAAAGAGGAAGAGGAGGAAGTGGAAGAGGAGGAAGGGGATGGAGGGCAGGAAAGAAGAGGAAGGAAGGAGAAGAATGGGAGGAAGGAGAGGAAGAGGGGAGGAGGGGAGGAGGAAGAGGAGGAAGAGGAGAAGGAAAAGGAGGAAGCAGAGGAGGATGAGGAAGAAGAGAAGGGGAGGAAAAGGAAGAGAAAGAGGAAGAGGAAGGGGATGGAGGGCAGGAAAGAAGAGGAAGAAAGAGGAGGAGGAGGAAGAGGAGGAGGACAAGGAAGAAGAGGGAGGAGAATGAGGAGGAGGAGGAGGAGGAAGGAGAGGAGAACAAGGGGGAAGAAGAATGGGAGGAAGAACAAGGAAGAAGGGTAAGAGTGGGGGAAGAGGAGGAGGAGGAGGAGGAGGAGGAGGAGGAGAAGGAAGGGGAGAAGGAAAAGGAGAAAGCAGAGGACAACAAGGAAGAAGCAGAAGGAGAGGAAAAGGAAGAGAAGGAGGAGCAGGAGGGGGAAGAAGAAGAGAAGGAAAAGGAGGAGCAGAGGGATAAAAAATAAAGCTATTGTGGTTGCAAGATCAGGGCAAATGCCTGCCATACCACGGACTGGTGACCGGCTGAATGCCAACTCTGCCAGCTTTGGCAGAGCCCAGATTCCATCTTCCTCAGCTCACACCTTTGGGGTCCCGGATGATTGGGGGCCCACGGCTGCTCCACCCACTCTCCTGTTTGCCCACCTACCACAGTTGGCTTCGTCGGAGCCGTCCTGGCAATCCTGGCGCAGGTCGCAGCGGCGTTCATGGCTCAGGCACTCCCCACTCTGGCAGGAGAACTGCTTGGAGGAGCAGGCGCTGGGGGGCCCTGCCGGGATTGGGGGGGCCATGGTGTGGGCCGTGGGCGCCGTGGGACCGCCTGAGAAAGGACAAGAGAGCAGTTCAGTGTCATCGAGAGATTGGTGGTATTGGATGCTAAGCCTTGGCCCGGTCAATCGTGGTTTAACAATGGTTTGTAAACTCAACCCCAATTTAACCTTCAGCCGTTAGGTGGTAGAATTGCTGGAGGCTGTCAGTTCACCAAGTGATTCTTCTCCTTCATTATCTCCTCCTTTTCACCTATCTTCTCCTTTTTCTTTCTCCACATCTATTCTCCTTCTCCTTATCTTCCTTCTTCTCCTCTTTGTCTGTCTGTCTGTCTGTCTGTCTGTCTGTCTGTCTATCTATCTATCTATCTATCTATCTATCTATCTA